AGAGAGAGAGAGAGAGAGAGAGAGAGAGAGAGAGAGAGAGAGGAGCAACGAAAGAGCAAAGAAAAAAAAAATGAACACGAGTAAAAAAAGAAAAAAAGTTTGATATGATGATTTTTCATTTCATTTAAGTAATCAAGTGACCGCAGTATGATCAAGGCACAATTATTGCGCAGCGGAATCAATATTGACTTAAAAAACCCGAATAATATTATGTCTTTTTTTTTTTTAGTTTTTTTTTTCCCCACTCTCTCTCTCCTTCCCCCCTTATTTATTTGTTTTTCCCTTCGCATATCTCTTGTAGGGCCAATTAGGTAATTGAAACCGAAGACGATCATCTAAGAATTTGTCATTAAAGCAATGTCTGGACAACCGCTCAATCAATATCTTTGTCTTCCTATCTCACTTACAAAACCAATCAGCTTCCTTCACTTGAACGATAGTCTTGCAACACCTCACGAATAGAAACTCGTTGAACCACTTTGCGGCGATACTCCTCGAAAGTTCTGAATCGAGTCTGTCTTTGTCAATTATAATCTAAATAAATTGCAGTATCCGCACATCTCCAAGTGTTCATACTCGTATTCAATTTTGTTGCTGCTTCCACAATATCTTGCACCTTGACAGGTGTGCAAGTGTCTTTTTCGAACCAATAAATTCAATAGAGTCGAACATGGTAATGTTAAAATTAGAAGAACTTGGTTGTTCCAGTGGTCCTATATGGACATGCAGATGGTCTCTTTATGGCGTATGAGCAGGCACAACACAACTGACAAAAGACGGAGTAGCCGTAGCGGTCGGCAAAGGAGAAACAACAACAGAAGTAGTGACAATCGGCGTTGACATATTGGAAGGTGAAGCATAATCCGCAAGATGTTGAAAATTTGGAGGAGATGCTGTTTGAAGGGGGAGTCTACGGATCGGAGCGGAATGAGGAGTGGAAGAAGCACGGAATCCTTTTGAGAAGTTGTTGTAGCCGTACATATTTGTGAAAGGCTTGGGAAATGGTCCCTTCTGTCGGACAATGCGGCAGATCAAATGTTATCATA